TGCGTCGCCCTCGCGCTGCGTCGCCCTCGCGCTGCGTCGCCCTCGCGCTGCGTCGCCAAACCCACTTTTCTTAATAATAGTTTTTACTTGTTCTGGTACTTAATAAAAAGGAGGTTTAAAAGCGATAGTCTAATTTATGTTTACATTTAAGTCCTTTTAGGTTTATCCTATGATAATTTATATAATCAGATGTTCTCTGTGATGCTGACTTTCCCTCTTTTCCATTTGACAGACAGATGTCCTAGTCCTCAGTTGTGATCTCATAACAGATGTTGCCTTACATGAAGTTGTGGACCTATTCAGAGCTCATGATGCATCACTTGCTATGTTAATGAGAAAAGGCCAGAATGGCACAGAACCAGTTCCAGGTCAAAAAGGAAAGAAAAAAGCAGGTAAGGAAGACTGAAATTTGTTTACTTTTTGCTGCATTTTTATAATCCGTGCTTTTATCTAATGATTTTTTTTTAATTTAGCAAAATAAGTGTAAAAGATTTATTAAGGTAATGCAACAGAGGCATGGTTGGTGAAAGATAGAGATAGGCCGTGTGGAAGCATTAAAGAGAAAAGGGAAGAAGAAGAAGAAGGGAGAGGGGACCACCCCTCAAAAGTCAAGGGTGAGCCCTAGCTTTTTGACCCATTGTTAGCAGAAAGAGAGAGAGTGACCCTCAGTTGGACACTGCTTTTATTGGCCCCTCTTCTCTCCTGAGACTGGTCATAGGCTAGCCCTGCCTAGGGACCTATGGGATTGGTCTAGTCTAGTCTTGCCCTATCCTACACCTTCCCCACAATCCAAGACGTGCTCTAGCCCATTGCTACAGACACCTTATCAATCCATAGTGTTGATGATCTTTTTCTCTGACGTGTCCAAGGAAATCTTCTTCACTGACAGTGAGATGTTTTCCAGTATCAAGTCCTTCAATTCACCTCCCGCAGCTCTTGTTGCCAACCCCTGCTTCCTGCCCTGGGGGCCTGTGGCTCCTGGCATCTGCAGCCGCTGGCCATGTGGGGGCTCCGTCACACAGGCTGTGGGGCCCAGCGCCCACCGCCCGTTCTAGGCTAGTGCCACGGTGGCCCCATGGGTTTGCAGCAGTTTGGGCTTGGCAGCAGGCAGTGGGCTGAAGTGGGACTCACCCATGTTCCTTTGAGAATCTCTGTCCTCTTGATGTTGCGCTTCAGTCCACATTATATATAAGTTGCATGGCCTGCTTCAGTGCGGCTTGCCAGGCCTCCTGCTCCTCACATTGTGTCTCTTCTACTCCTAACATTGCCGCCGCCATCTTGGTTCCGAGAATTTATTTTCAAATAAGTTTATTCTGCGGCAGTCTAGAGGCTCCGTTGTACCAGCTTTGGCCGTGTGCCCATCATCCTTCCATCCCAAATAAGGAAATCTCCAGGGTCCAGCCACTGAGGCCCCGTGGAGCTGTGGTGATGAGTGGGCTCGGTAGTGGGGAGCTGGGAGCCGTAGGACTCATCCATTCTTTTTTGGGAATCTTTGTTCTCTTGATGTTGTACCTCAATCCATATTGAAGACCAGTAATCAACTGTTTAATTGTTCAATTATAAAAAAGAAAACAAAACAGGACTTTGTGGGGCCATGGTGGCCCGTTTTTATGCAGCTTGCTACTTTTGCAGGTCCTTACATTGTTTCCACCACCACTGTCATCTTGGTTCTCCCTTAATGAACATTTTTTTTCAATCAATAATTTATTCATTGCTCATACCTTTTTACAGAAAACCAGAATAACATAAATGACAATTATATACATGGATCTTACCTAAAGGAATATACAAGTATCAAATTGGTTTTATCTATAGAAAGAGACAATACAGAACTCATTATCAGTTGTCTAAACAAGCATTGAGGCTGATTGTGAAACAGAACATTAATTACTCGTATGCAATTTAAATTGCAGCTATATATATATAGATAGATAGATAGATAGATAGATAGATATAGATACATCTATATATCTATATCTATATATATATAAATAAAATTAGGCAACTATTCTTTTTTTTCAATGTAGTAAACATAATTTATCCAGTTTTTCTCAGTCTTACCCCCACCCCAATGTCAGACTCATTCTGTAACAGTGGCACCATATAATATTTGTCTCTTTGTGACTGAGATTTTTTTACTCAGCATAATGTCTTCCAGGGTCACCCATTTTGAATAATATTGCAAAGAGTTCCTTGTTTTTCAAAGCAGCATAGTATTCCATTGTGTGAATATATCACAGCTTCTCTATCCATTCGTTTGTTGATGGGTACTTAGATTGTTTCCAACTCCTTGCTGTTGTGAATAAAGCCGCAGTAAACATGGGTGTGCATATATCTACTTGGATGTCATTTATGGTCTTTATAGGGTATATTCCCAGTAATGGAATTGCTGGGTCAAATGGTATCTCTATTTGCAACTTTTTGAGAAAGCGCCAAACTGCTTTCCACAGTGGTTGCACCATTTTACACCCCCACCAACAGTGAGTAAGGGTTCTAGTCTCTCCACAACTTTGCCAGCATTTGTTGTTAGCTGTTCTGTTAAACTTTGCTATTCTTATTGGGGTGAGATGATATCTTAATGAACATTTTTAAAGAACTTGCTGTGACCATCATCATCCACCCCCTTCCCTGTCCCCACCCCATTATGCTAGAACTTAATAACATAAAGACTTACAAGGCATAGTCTTATTTGAGGGTGCTTCTAGATACTCATCAGATTCTATAATGTCCCGAAGGTTTTTTTTCTAAATGGAGAGGTGCATTGAAAGCTGTTTGCATTGTGTTTTAGGGTAATCTTACCCTAATAATCTTATTAAATACATACATTTAAGAAATACAAAATTTAATTATAACATCTATTTTCTTGTTTATCTATTGCTCCATAAGGAGGCTCTGGTAGCATAGTCTGTAATGAGTTGCTCTGCTAACCCAAAGACCACACCTCTCTGGCAGTTCAAATCCACCAATGGCTCCAAGGGAAAAACAAAGGCTGTCTCCTTTCATGCAATTTATAGTCTTAGAAACCCAGTGGAGGGTCCACTATGAGTTGGTTCTGCCTCCAAGGGAATGAGAATGATTTGAGTTGATTACTTCACAACAAATTACCACAAATAAAGCAGCCTAAAATAACACCTTGTGTCAGGAACACAGGTACATCTTAACTGTGCCTTTTGCTACCCAGCTTCTTGCATGTGACAAATCAATATTATCCAGGGCTGAGATCTCATCCCATGACTCAAATGGGGAAGAATTTTTATCCAAACTCACTTGCTTGTTGGCAGAATTTCAGTTTCCTGTTAGATTGAGAGCCTTCATTATCCAATGACTGCTGGCCATTTGTTGTTGTTAGGTGTCAAGTCGACTTTGACTCAGAGTGGCCCTATGAATAGAGCTGAACCTTGGCCTGTCCTGCAGTACAATTCATTTATTGTCATTACAATCTTCATGATGTTCAAGGCCATTGGGATCGTCACTATGACAGTCCCCCTCATTGAGGATTTTCCTGACCTTTCCCAACAAAATATCTCTCTCCAAGGACTGGTTAAGACGGAGTATATGTCCAAAGTAAGTGAGATGGAGTTTCACCATCCTTGCCTCTAAAGAGCGCATTGATGGCACTTATTTCAAGATGTTGTTGTTTTGGTTAGTGCCATCGAGTCGTAGACAACTCATAGCGACTCTATGAACGAACGGCCTGAGCACTTTTCATACATAGAGTTTCCGGAGGCAAGCCATTTCGGAAGTGGATGCTGCTCCTGCTTCCAGGCTTGTTTTAGTCAGGAAGCTCCACCAAACACTGTCCACCATGGGTACCCATTACCACGATTGGCACAACACTGTCACAGTCTTCAGCATCACAGCAACCACGAGTTACCTCTGTACAGCAACGCACAGACCAGTGCTATACCACCTAGAAGAATGTTTGACAGGAAAACAATTTGAACCTGGCCGAGGGCCACAGATAAAAATCACCCACCTTTGGCTTGGTAGCATAACTTCCTTTCCACTAGGCCAACATAGCTCTCTCGTTGTTGTTGTTGTTATTGTTGTTTGGTGCCGTCAAGTCATAGACGACTCATAGTGACTCTATGAACGAACGGCCTGAGCACTGTTCGTACATAGAGTTTCAAGAGGCAAGCCATTTCTGAAGTGGATGCCGCTCCTGCTTCCATGTTTCAAGATAGATTTATTTATTTTATTAGCAGTTCACAGGATAGTCAATAATCCTCATCAACATCACAGTTCAAAGGCATCAAGTCTTCTTCTGCCATCCTTATTCACTGTCCAACTTTCAGAACAAGTGAAAATACAGTGGCAGGGATCAGGCACACTTTTAATCTTTAAACTGACATCCTTGCTCTTTAGAACTTTAGAGAGCTCCTTGACAGCAGATTTCCTCAATGCAATGTATCTTGGTTTCTTGACTTTTACTGCCGTGGGTATTAATGGTGTATCTAAGTAAAATGAAATCATTGACAATTTCAATCTTTTCTCCGTCTATCATGATGTTGCCTATTGGTACAATAGTGAAGATTTTTGTTTTCTTAATGTTGAAATGATCTTCTGTAGTAAGTGCTGACCAGAGACTGACATAGTTTATCATTTGAACTTCTTCAGTTTGGCAGTTTGCTTTATCAGAGTCAACATGGAAGGGAGTCTTCTAGCTAGACAGAAGTCACAATCTTATAAAACCTAATCATAGGTTTATACCACTTTAATTTTATTATATTCTAAGCTGTTCTGTTGACTGTATGCCAATCCATACTCAAAGAGAAGAGATAAACAAGAATGTGCAAGAAGTGGTTACTATTGGGGGCCAGTTTAGAGTCTGTAAGTCACAGTTGGGCTCACTAATATGTCTAGGGTCCCAGCTGTAACAGCTGAATTTCTCTTCCCATGTAGTTTCTTATCATCTGGGAGATTAAACATCATATGATAGCAGTAGCAGGTTCTATAAGACCTTGTAAGGTTTAATTCCAGAAACTGCACATTATGACATTTATCTCATCTGGTTAGTCAGAACTAGTCACAAGACCATCCCAGATTCAAAAGGTAAAGTGAAGCTGCAAAGAATTTGTGACCCAAAATCTACTACTTGCACTATTGATCTTCAGCTAATATTTTGTACTGCCAACTCAAAAGCAGGTGGTTCAACTCTACCAACTACTTCAGGAGAAAGATAAGCAGTCTCATCCCATGCTATTTACAGCTTCTGAAAGCCCACTGGAAAGTCAGCTATAAATTGGTTCTGATTCAAAAGCAATAAGAAAGAGAAAATATTTTGCTTGAAATCTTTTTACTTAAATGATGAGTGACTGTGCCTATAATTTTCATTTCTTGTTATATTAATGTTGAGTTTGGGCACCAAGATCATAATGACCTCATTTAATGA